GCCTGGGGCAGCCCCAGCCCCTTGTGGCACCTCCTCAGTGAATGTGGGGATGCAACAGGTCCTTACATCTAAGGCCTCCTTAGAATGACGCCTGGCGGGAGGGCAAGGACAAGAAGAAAGGCTTCTCTTAAGTATATTGGAGGCAAAAGGAGGACTAGGGGAAATGTGGGCCTGCTGCTGAGGGAAGTGGCTATCCTGGTGGTGGTGGCTATAGAGAAGGTGGAGTTTCTGAATGCCTTCTGTGCCTCGGTCTGTACTGCTAAGGCCAGCTCTCAGGAGTCCAGACCTTTGAGACCACAGGGAAAGTCAGGAGAATGAAGGAGCTGGCAGAAATTGTGGCTGTGCTGCCATTCAGCACAACATGGACTGGCTGGAGATGAGGGAAGAAACATAATTAAGCACTTTGGTGTCAGTTCTTATCTTCTGAGATGTCACCTTCAAGAAAATCTCCTTTAACTGGGTGAGGATATCTACAATAAGCATGAAGGAGACGCCTTGAGAGTTCATTTGCTGTATTCAGTTTGAAGTTCTTACAACCAGAAGAAATAGAGCAACATGTAACTGAGGTATCAGAGCCAGAAACAGATTATTTCTCAGCATTAAATGCAGCGTCGTTAGCAGCTCTTTGTGGTGCTCAATATATGTATTTAATTTACCAAAGCTAATGGAAGAGCATTCTTGTTTGTGAGATTTGGTTTCAGATGTTCCTTGGAACAGTGTTAACAGGGAGTGAAACTGGCCTGGAATTTCCACTGGCCACGAGGCCAGTAAAACAAAGTGGCTTGTGAAAATTTGGGCCAAATCAAGTACTATCCAGGAGGGGGAACAAAAATCTCTCAACCTTTCCCTTGTTTTGAATGGGCTTCCAGCCCAGGGGTGGCTACTCAGACTAGCTGCTCGGTGGCCTGCAGCAGTATCTGTTAGGGCTTGGCCAGGCTGAAGAGAAGTCCTCTGGGCACAGCAGACTTCTCCCTTCCTGATGCACAGAAACTTGTGTAATTTTTCACCTGTTTCTAACATGGGCCCTTCCAGCATTGGGGGCCAGCAAAAGAGCCACTGCTGCTCCTGCCACGGGAGGGGCTTCACTCAGCGTCCAACCCAGGGGGCCTCTAACATCAGCCCTGCTGCCAGTGCAGTTGAGGGAGAGAAGTGTCTGTAATACTTGAGCTCAGCTGGACTGACTTAGATTTTACCATATGCTGACAAAACAAGCTGTCACTTCACCTTTTGAACTGTTTTAAACTGGTACAAAACCAAACCTTGCCAACTGAGCAGCATTTCTAATGCTTCCTGTATGAAAACAGGAAATAGCTCCTCATTTACTAGTTTTACAGCACATGCCATTGCTGCTGGTGTCAGGAAAAGGCCTCTTTTCCCTGCCTTTAGATACAGATTCACAGGATCAGGCATTTGCAGAGAGAAAAACCTTCCAAATAAAATACATCGTCCCAGTCAAGTGTGCTCCAGCTATGAGTGGTTTTCCATCACGAGCTGGTCTCCCTTGAGAGCCACCGTAAACCAAAGAGGTCTTTTCTTAGGTCCCTTCCACAAGTTTCAGTCAGGTGTCAGTGAGGGGAAAGAGCAGATCTCCAGATCTCTGCTCCCCAAGTTGATCAATCAGACCTCCCCCAGAGCAGGAGCTGATGCTGCTGCCCATGTCTGCTCCGTTTCTCCACAGCTCTCACCTGAAGCTGTCAGGCACTGCTTTCCCTCCAGGCCCTGCCTACCAGCTGCTTCAGGCAATTGTTGCTTTGGGAGCTCTCACTGGAGGTGCAGCACTCAGCATGGAAACTTCTGAGGTACCATTGCTAGAGCTCTTCATCAGACCGCAGACAAGACATCTGATCTTGGAGCCACAGGACAAAAGAGGATACAGGAAAGGCACGTAGATTCTTTGTCATGTTACTTTATGTAACTTCACAGAACTGTTGTCACAGGAACACGATACAGGGTAGACTCATGGTTTGGCTTTATGGTGTTCTCCAGATGCCAAAATATTACTTGAATTATTTAGTAAAACATGAATATTTTGGGGTTTTTTTTCTGGTTTTGTTGTGTATTTTTTTAAGCGTCACACACAGTAAAAAGCTACTGCTGAGCTTCCAACCTGTTGCCTTGTTTTGGAAGCTCGTAACTTCAAAGGAGAAAGGCTTCTGCAATTTTGTCTAGGCAGCTGAAGTCCCAGGTTACTTCTCTAGGTCACACACGCAGCATCTTCTCACCACTGAAAGGAAAATCTGATTTCTTGAGTATCAAACACACTCTGAAAGCTGTCAGTTCACACAACGCCTTGCATGTTAAATAACTCAAGTAGAACTCAAGTAAAAATCCATTTTAACTTTGCTGTATTTATATAGTATATAAATTTTACATGCTATATATTTATAGTGGGGCAAGTGCTTTTATCTTTAAAAAAACAAAGATCAAACTTCAGACATCTCTGAACAACACAGCTTGTATAAAGCAGACAATTATTCAGACAAACTGTATTTAATACAGGTTCCCCACTCATTTCCTGATGCAGGACCAGCGAATAATAAGTGCATCACAGTTTGATAGCATTTAATAATAAAAATAAAAATCACAGTATGAATTTGTCTGTAACTAGACACTTTAGAGAGACAAAACAGACAACTGAGACTTAAGACAAGTGACAGTATATTAAGAAAATGTAATAAAAACGGATGGAAGAGTACACAAATAGTCTTGAGAGATACATTCAGAACTGCATATTTGTTGTTTCACAATGTTGAAAGCCAGAATATTTTCTTCAGATCTTGAATATAACTCAATTGTGAAGTAAATTAGTTTCTAGTGTCAGACATCACAGAAAAAAAGATGCAGCTCTTGCCAAACTCTAGTTATTTGAGAGCTTGTGAAGTTTTAAATAAGTCTTTAAATTAAATATACAGACTGTCAGTTGCAACTTTTATAATTCCTGGTCGCTCTTGCACCAGATGCCTAACTTGGAGTAACATTACATGAATAACATAAAGTCAACCTGAGTCTGTAATTAAGCAGCATTTGAGATGGTCTATACCAGGGCATTATCTCACCTCAGTGAGATATTTATGTGGTAATTTACAATGTTCAGCAGTTGTAAAAAGTTTCCATCATTTTGGATTAGAAGTATATCTTAAAAAAAGAAAGTCTCAAGTTAAAAACTAAAAAAAAGTTCTTTCATGGTAAAATTCTGTACAGAAATGTTTGAGCACCACTTATGACTGGATTTTGTCTTGATCGTAAATGTTTTGATAATAACTTTTAAGTTTTGATGGTCAGTATTGGTAATGTTGGGTTTGATGGTCAAGATCAGTAATGTAGGTTGGGTCCAGTGAGGTCTGGTCCGATGGCCAAGATCAGTAAGGTCAGGTTTGATGGTCTATATGGGCAATATTGGTTTTGATGGTAAAAAGTTGTTGATTTTCATGGTAGAAAGTTGGGCTTGATGGTAAAAAGCTGTTGGTTTTGATGGTAGGTTTAATTTGAGTATTGAAGGCTTCCATCAATCATCTCATCTGAAAGGCAAAAGAAAGCATTGTCAGTCCCTGTCCTGACATTCCACATAGAACTATGTCTCACTGGTTTGATTTCTGAAAGAGAAGTCTGAAACCTGCCTGCAGCTCTGTCTGCTCTGAGGCTACACGTTGTCACTAGCCATTTTTGTCCTTATTAATATATTTAAAGTAAGATGATCCTGGTGAAAAGGCAGAACTTAGCAATTCCTTCTCGGTTGTCTCTAGTCTGTCCCGAGCTTGTGGGAGAGGTTCAGTTCTCTCTGAAAACAAACTGCCAAAGTGGCCTTTGTGAGATCAGATTCTGTATTTCAGGAAATCCTACTTGCAACCCTTAAAAAAAAAAAAAAAAAAGGAAAAAAGAAAGATTGATCTTCCAGAAGATGAAGCTAATTAACATGGACATTGACTTTCTTACTACATTTTGGACTGGATTTTTAAAAAACGAGTTTGCCATCTGTTGGCTGGAGAAGGTTAGAGCAGATGCATTTTCTTCAGTTCCTTATTTATCTCTCACAGAACAGAGACACCTTTAGTGCAGTGGCAATTAACTCTCTACCTACTAGATTCTTTTTCAAGATAAAACTGCCCATGTTTTTTTTTCCTAGTTAATTGGACTGAATTTAATGAGGTATCTTGCCATCCCTCTTACTTGTTCACCACTTAACCATTGTATCACACTAAAACTTTCCAGGCAGTCATTTAAAAATGGAGGGGGAGAAAAAAAAAGAAAGCTTATCAGGTTTTTTTTATTAATGCAGATTGTTTGGAGGCCATGATATAAAGCAGAGATTACATCACACATACATTAAAGATTGTTTTAAATATTATTGTCTGTGTGACTAAAAAGGAGTCCTAACATCCTGTTGCCCCTTACTTACCTTTAACATCCTCACTGGATGTGATGGAGCTCCTTTTCTTGCTGTTACCTGCTGGACTTGAAGGATTCCCTGCCTTGGAGGAAACCCTGCCCTGGTTTCTGTATTGCTCACTTAAGGAGTCGCCTGGAGGACAGGATTCTTCCTTCTTCTCCCGTGTTTTATTCTGGAAACGAGCATCTAAATATTCCAGGAAGTCTTTTGGTTTCCTGATTTGTTCCTTCTTTTTCTTCTTTTTCTTATGTTTGCGATTGTCATTCTCAAAGCGGAGCACAGAGAAATCCAAATCATAATGTCTGATGGAAACATGCAAGTTAAAAATAGAAAATCAGATGTGGCACTTCATGCATATATGAAACATTATTTATTTTACCACAGGTGATGACTTGCAGTGTATCAGCTATTTTGTGGTTGTTTTTGCACATCTGACACTTTAGATGCAGCAAACATAAGCCCTCAGATTGAAGGACAAAAGTGGTTTGTACACAAATAATTAACAGGGGCTAGTTGTGAAATATGTGGAATTAAAAAAAACCACATTACTGTAACCTAACGAAGAAGAGTGTGCACATGTGATTCTAACTACTCCAGATCCAGTGTTCCAACACAAATCAGCAATATCTTTCCTGTCTTCACTTGATCAACCTAATGACATGATCCCCAGCCAGATTATGCTGTATAAGTAACCTGGAAACAATTAAAAAAAGGCTGACATGAGAAACAGAGAAAAGTGCTGATTAAGCTGGAATCCTTGCTTACTTGTAATCCTTCTCTCGATGTTTCTCTTTGGACTTCTTTTTCTTCTTGACCTTCTTCACTTCTTTCTTCATTCTTTGGTCATCTGTCTTTCGGCATTTCTTTTCTGTCTCGCTTCCGCTTCCTTCTCCATAGGTGTATTTTCTTTTGCTGTTTCTTTGTTTTGCTTTTTCATTTTCCCAGGAAGAGTCCTCAAAATGTGAATGACCTGGCCCAGGTGGAAGTGCGTGCCTTTCACGAGAGTATTTTTCCGAGTACTGCTGAGGTACTGAACAATGATGTAAATTTGCTCTGTGGCTGCCTAAGTGATACACATCTTCATCTCTAGAGAATGCACTGTGAGGCTGTCTGCTTTTGCTATGATAATCCTTATGTGACCTGTTGTAAGTTTGATTCCATTTGTCACAGTCTTTATCACAATAAAAGGACTTTCTTTCTCTACCATCCCTTGTTCCATAACAGGAATAATAATCATTGTAGTATTTGCATTTTTCCCATCTCCGTAGCTGATCTTGATGGTATCTTTCTCGACTCCAAGTTCTCTCTCGTTTGTAAAGATAATACCTATTCCTGTCCTGTTCCATTCCTTCTCTGCTCCGCGATCTATGCTGAGGATATTTTCCTGAGCTTTTGCCATCATTCGGACTGTTTCTTTCGCTATGGAAAGATCTATACTTGCTGTCGTTACAATACTCCTGCTTATTACGATTGTGCTTGCTTGTTTCCATGCTGCGAGAGCACTGCCTCTTGTAGGAATCATCTGCTTTGCTTCTGCTTTGCTTCTCCTCTTCAGTATCTGAGATTTCTCTCTTTTTTCGGTAGTGCTCTTTGTCACTTTTTTGAGAGTCATATTCTCTTTTCTTATATTTTTTCCTATACTTATCTTCTTCAGATTTTCTGTTACTCAGTCCTTTGTTTTCTCTGGAAAATTCACTCTTCAAAAGTTTATTCTGGTTTGTAACAGCAGAGCCATTAACAGGTGGTATGTCTAGAGAATTGTTAGAAATGTCCTTTGTGACTTGGCATTTATCTGTGGTATCTAGAGATACAAGTTTTTTAGAACTACATTCAACATCCTCCTTTATAGAGGAGGTTTGCCCTAGTTTTTCTTTGATCTCAGGAGACCTTTTGATTTCTTTTGAAATTACTTCAGTTTCTTTTGATCTTCTTGGTCTGTCTTTGTCTCTACTCTGCTCTGACTCACAATGCCCAAGGAAATCTTCTTCATTGTCCAAGGTTTTTTTCCTCACCTTATGCTGACCATTAACATTGGGATGTGCATTATCAGCTTTTTTAATAATACTTTCAGCAACGTCTTTGGCAGAAATGGTTTCACAGTCTGATTGAGTAAAAAGGTTCTCAGTGTTGCAGCTAAAGTTGGAAGCAACCTTCCTAGGTTCTTCATATGCAAACAACGCTTCCATTACTACAGTATCCATACGAGTATCATTCTCGGAACACTTCTGAGGTCCAGGGACACTGCACAAAACAAACACATTTTTCACTTGAAAAAGGCCAAGATGAATGTTAGAGAGTAAAATCCCCTTAAGTAAAAAAAGTGTGTGGGTACTGGAAAACTCTGAAAGAAAATCCCTTCAGAAATCTATTCTTACACCTTCCTCAGCTCCCAGAGGTGTGGGGTTTTTTTTCCCTCTTGATTCTCCAAGTGTTGCATTAAAAACCCCACACCCATCACATCTGTCTGCCTTCACTTGCTGTGCTGAAGGATGGCATAGCCAAAAATCACTTTATTTGCTCTTCTCCCAGCTAGAAAAAAGCAAACACACAGATGTCTCTCCCTCTCCAAAACAAGAGGGGAGATGATGGGAATTTACATTCACACAACCTGGAATGGAAAAAAAAGGAAAGAAGAATAGAAAAAGTATTCCAAACAATGGGGAAAAAAAAACAAAAGGGAGAAACATTCTATGAAGAAACTAAAGTTTTCCAAGAGGCATCCACCTGTATTTAATATCAGAATATAAGCACTCAGCAGGTGATATTTGCAACACTAGACATAAAGTATGGAATTCTCTGTACTGATTTAAATCTTCCCATTAAATACTACTAATAGAAAGGTAATACAATTATAAAATTGTATGAAATCTTGTTTTAATCAGAGGGTACTCATTTTACCTTGTTTCCTCTGGTAAGATGTTCATCTGGCTATACATGAGAGACTCTAGTATTATTTCTTGAGGTATAGGCATCTAGAATTAAAACATACAAGTTAACAGACATAAAAAAATACTCTCTTTAGCAGAAATCTATGGTTTGAAAAATGTCTACATTAGATGTTGAACAAGATCACTTTGAGCTACATGTGCTGTCCCCATTTTACACATCACTGCACTCATCTCCCCAAACATTTATGAAACTCGTCAAGTATTGTCTCAGCTGAACTTCTCTTAACATGTTCTCATATGTCAGCTCAGCTCTGCATATTCTAATGGGAAAATTGCACAAAATGTTACAGTAAAATCTGTGCCTTGTGTTTTCTTGGTATTTCACACAAATTAGGAACATTATAATACTCCTGAATACATCATAAGTGAGAAATTCTAGATGAAACAAACATAACTCACTGTGTCAAGCAATCCATTTGTTTTAGAAAAGAAAATCTCAGATGGTTTTACAGGTGGCACTTGGCAAGTGGAATCATTACGTTTTGGTCCATTTTCTTTAGATTCATTATCTAAACTAATAGCACCATTGAGTGAATCACTTTTTGGCAGCTCATGCTGGGATCTTTCTTCAGCATTCTGGCAGGAAGCATGGGAATTCTGCAATGCATGAACCACCTTTCCCATCAAAATTCCATTAGAAGACACTACGTTGCAGTTCCGTTTAAACAAGCCCTTCGTCTCCTCAGATTTTCCTGAAGGCTCTGCACTGTAAGGGACTGTGTTACTGGAGCTTACTTTAGCATTTCCATTCACTGCTGGGTTGACAAAAATTTCATCAGGAACTTCCTGTTTAGAAATGTCAGCAGCAACTGACACTACAGATGTATTTGAGGTAGACTCCGCTGCGGAATAATTGGTAATGGTGGATGAAGGAACAGGTTTGCTTAGGTCCTCATCCTCCACAGCACTACTAGGACAGGCGGGGCGGGACACGGTCTGACGTGCAGGCAGTTTGTTGTGAATACTGATGGTGATTTTCTGACTTTTTGATGCATCAGTAAGTGAAGGCCTGGTAATGGCCCAGTTCTGAACACACGCTGTCGGTGGAGCTGACGATGGCCTTTTCAGGGTGACGCCAACAGTATTTGGATCCTCTTTTAGGGGTCCATTTCCATTTAAACGACTTGAATTCTGTGTTTAAAATTAAGAGATTACAAGATGGATCTGTGCAAATACATAGCAATTCAAAAGATAAAAATTCTCCTCAAAATATTTATACAAATTGCCTCAACACTTAGGAAGAAGAAACACCCTCCTTCAAATATAGTCCAACAAATGTGTTTATTTCCTGCTTTTGGTATGGTATGAAATGCTCTAATTTTTGAAACCCACCCAAACAACTTAATATTGACTTAAGTTATCCCCAAATATATTTATTTTTCCCATTAAACTTTCCCTGTAAAAGAGAGTAATTGTTCTGGGATTCAGGAACAAGACAATTGGTTTTCACTGTTTGAGCTAAAAACGACACTGACGGAGGGAGGGAATATTAAAAAAAATATACGTAAACATTATCAGACTAGTTATATTTTCTCAAGAGCTTAAGAAAAGTAAGTGGGAAGTATAAGGTAATGAAGCAGCATGGCTGCACACCTGAGGATTAGCCACTGTTTGAATAATTCTGGCTGTAGCATGAGGGCTGTGAGGAAAGCTGCAGTGGGAGAGGGAAAACTCAGATGCTAAAAAGAAACAAACCCTCAAAAACAAAAATACACCACACCAAAACCCACTGCCCATTTTGGTGCCATTATTTGTCCCCCTCAAATTACCTTAATCATATGAGGAGGAAGTCGTGGTCCCATAAATCCAGCCTGCTTACTATTAGCCCCTCGCTGGCCCAGGAAGGAACGGGGATAGGACGGAGCTGGCAAGTAAAATGCACGTTCTCCAAGTGACAGATCATAGCGCCTGGGGAAAAGAGCAGTGATCTCAGTTTAGAGTTTTGATTTCAGCCTATTCTTGGATTAAACCCCATCCTAAAATTTTACAGGAACAGCTTATATGACACAGAAGACATATACAGAAGACTTAACCAAGACTATAAAATGAAAATTATGTAATGGTCTTCCTACAATGACTGTCTTCTCAGAGCAGTAACTCATCCTTAGACCAGGCATGGCCTTAATTTCTCCTCTTTTCTAAACCAGCCAGCTGCAAAGAGCAGATATATACCAATGTACACAAGTGCAGCAGTTTAAGACCAACCAGTGAAAGATAATAAATGACATGGGGAATTTCAGGTTAGACAGAACCGAATTATAACAATAGTCATCATCTAGAAAGAAAAACACTTGAAAAGAAGCATATCAATAACAGGAAAGTAAATATATTCTGGACACATTTAGCATTTGTTATTACCTGATATAAAAAAGTACATAAGCTTGCTGATTGAGAACTGTTTTGATATCAGAAAGCTCTACTGAGGCATCATTCATTCGATACCATCGCCCATTACCAGCCTAAAAATAAAAACAATGATATTTTAGATGAGCTGCATGTTTTTCAAATGAGATCTCAGATACAACACTACCAAATCAAACCGATAATGCTACTTTTTCTCCTAAAAACAGTGGTCATCAGGAACATTTTAATTGGTTAGCACTAGAATTACCCTGTTAGAAATGAAGATGATATCTACCTTTATGTAGCAGATATAGTGTCCTGCGTTACAGCTGAAACCATTATGTACAAGAACTGCATATAAAGCATAGATGAGTGGTTCTCCAATTGATTGGGACATATATGCCCGAAGATCCAAATATTCAGGATATTTTACTTCCTAAGGACAGACCAAGAAGATTAAAAAATTATCCTAAAATACTTCACAGAATAGCCTGAGAAAATCACTTCTAAAAACACAAACTAGGATTATATTAATATATTTTTTATTCACTTATAAAAACCTACTCTTATCAACAACATTTAATAAGTTAAGTTGCACAGGCTGTTTTCTATGGAATGAGCTCTTCAAGAAGAAGGTCTGTTGTTATTGTCACACAGGAACTTTCTCATTATTACCAAAGAAAGAAGCCATAGCTGTGATCCTGACTTTATTCTTAGACTACAGTTATGATTCTAGAGTTACTGCCTGCAAACATGAGCAGCTTTTATATTCATTGTTGGGAAATCTCCCATCCCAAGAATATAAAGTTGCATTATTACAGCTGTAAATATTACCTTGTTGATCTTTCCACCGGTGTAATTAGCGAATCTTTTCAGTGATAGTGTAAGAACATTGGAAGATCGATGTATTGTGTACCTCTTTGATGCAGGAACCATCTTTTTACACCTTAAAAACAAACACAGACACATTTTACAGCATATTCTCTTTCCTCCCAAAAATCAAACTTCAGTTTTCATCTCTCACACACGCTTTAGATGTAACTAGTAATAATCTTACTTGCTGCACTTATAGCTGTTTTCACCATCTAGTTGTTCTGGTTTCACATATTGTTCTAGAGCTCTGGTAATGGACGTAACTGCCTGGAAAAAAAACAGTGAAAAAGTAGAGCTCTAAGTCACTGGAAATATAAAGTTTCAAACACTTACTGGTAGTTTAGGAGAGAACCTTGCTAATTCCTACTTCAGTGACCTACCAGCAAGCACTGGTGTGAAGGAGGCAGCAAGAGAATGTGCTGAGCATTTACCTCATTTGAAAATTATTCTGCCTAGAGATCAATGAATTTTGCAGTTCCACAGACAGCATCTGTGGTATGCTTTGGCTCCAGGAAGGAGAACAATCAGACCTGACAGTCTATCAGTGATGTGTATTGAAGTAGAATAATGGAGAAGTATGATAGATCACTGTTGGTGTGGATAAAAGTTTTCTTTTTCCAGCTTAAATCCAGTGCAAACGTGGAGACCATTTATGTGGCTTCCTCTGAAGAACAAGGTCCAATCCATTCCCATCCATCACCAAGTTCTTTGTTTTAACAAACTAAATGTTTTTAAGTAAAAGGAATTATTTTAGGAAGCTCTACAAGTCTTTACGCATCTCAACCCATATTCACAAAACAGCTTACCTTTATATCCAAAGAAATGTCAAGGAACGGCTCGTATGTGTCAGAAACAGCTTTGCAGTTCATGCACTTCACTGGAATCAAAATACAAATGCTTATCAATATGTGAAGGAGACTAACTGTGCAGATTTCAATTATTAATCCACATTACCCCAGTCAAATTACAAACATCTTTACTACAAACACACTAAAAACCCACAGAACAGTTGGAAGGACAGGCAGATTTTGAAAAAGTACCTCGGGATCTCAGATAACCTCCAAATATTTGATAAATAAGTGTGGTGGCTTGAGAGGATCTGTCCAGTCTGGAAAGAAATCATAAACAGACCTCAGAAGATTTAAGGCACACGGTTACCTGCTCAAACAGTTTTTCTTTTTATGAAAGCATAGGGTTTCACTTCATGTTAGTAAACAAAGGAGTAGGAGGGGCTAAAGGACACTTAAAAGGTAATTTGTTCATGCTTACTTCGTGCTTCCATTTAAGCAAGCTTTCTGTAAAGCATCAACAGTAAAACTTAAGAATTCATGTGCATCCTCTTGACTGCCAAAATGGAAATTTCTTCCAATTCCTAATAAATAATAGGAAAATGAAAAAAAAATACATTAATATAAAATTAAAGAAAACGTGCATTCCTAAAATATCTTTTTAAAAGTATCTAAGTAATTTACTTTTCATCAAACAGTTATTAAAAAAATTAAAAAATTACAAAATTTAAACCTAACTGAAGTTACTTACTTTTAAGGCCATTGATAACAGATGTAGGTTTGATGGGAGCATTAGAGCAACACAAGACCTGGTTAATGTGCGTTTCCATTGCACACATCATACAGAAGTCTTTTTCACCACCTGAAGAGTGAAAGAATAAAGAACCCTGGTCTAGTCAAATATATATTCCTAAAAAACACTCCAAAACAAACCTAAAAGAAATAAATAATAATCTTTAAGTGACAGGTACAATATCCACTTTCTATGCTAGATTCTCTTCTAGAGTGTCAATATCCCAGCAGGTCTGTGACATTTTATTATGCGGAACTTTATAGAATAAACATGTCAGCACAGTCAGTTTTAAAGTGCATTTCTGATTAACATTTCTTAACTATTGCAGTGTCATTTTAAATTTTTTTTGTGCAGACTAAAAAGAATGTGAACTCCAGAGACTGCAGAATATGTGAGGAAATATGATTGACACTGATGATACAGCACGAAGGGAGAAGGTGTGTTCTTTTCGGCACACTGTTGAGCTACATGACTCAGAGCTAAGAATCCTCTGGGAGAAAGGAGAGATTCAAGCAATGCATGGATTAGTGCTTCTGCCCTCCTTTTTCAACAGGATTCTTAACTGACATATTTTTTATATATTCTCAGAAAGCACAGCTAAGGTGCTTACAGTATTGGTTTAGCACTGGCTGGACAGTTAGGTTAATGGTTGGGCTCTATGGTCTTAAAGGTCTTTTCCAACCCCAACAGTTCTGTGATTCTAGGAATAAACACTAAGATCCCAGGCTGGCAAGCACACAGGTGCCTCTGGAAAATACACATCTATTTCTACCAGCAGGAAACCCAAGTGCCAAATGTTCACCTAATTCCTTACATTACAATGCACTTGAGTATTCACGTGAAACAAGAAATGATCTTGTTTTCAAGTTTTCCCATGGTGCATTAAATGAACAAATGCACTTTATATGCTGTTCTGAGCCTCCTCTTAATACAAACACAGAATCATTGGGTTGGAAATGACCTTTAAGACCATGCTGCAAACCAGCTTCTACAGATAAAATAAGACAACTAAAGAGTTTCCTTCACAGAATCACTGGTGCTCTTTCACCTTTCGAGCTGTCACACAGATGTACAGTCATGTTGGAAAGTACTCACACGACTGGGTGTGTTCAAGGGAAAGCATGTAATTGGCGAGGGGAGGCGTGTAGGTCAGACATTGCAGAGTAGAATTGAGGAAACAGGTGTTGCCAAGATTGAGCAGTCCAACTCCAACACTTTGTGTTTGTTCCCAATCCATACAAATTTTCTCCGGTGGAAAAAGAATCATTTGTGGCGGGGCAATTCCATCATTGACAACTGCAATGGGATTGGCTGGGCCACACATGTTCGGGACAACAGTTCATTCATCTGCTCTAATTCTTCTAACACAGGACAAACTACCATGCTGATCTGAGTAATTTTTGCCAGGCTTCTTTCCACCTGTAGGCTCTAATCTGATTACTGTTAAGTTACCATCTTGTTCCTTATTGTAACGTAAACCACAAAATTACACCACAGATTAGTTCCAGTTGCTTTAGGGCAGTCACAACATTGCAGAGTATCTGAAGTCTGCACTGGTCACTGTCCCATTTACAGCACTGCAACTATCAGAACTGCGTTTTCTACCTCTCTTTTGTGTTTCTAAAAAAATGAGGGGGGAACACGTAGAAGACACACTTACCTAGATCTCTTCGGGCAAAGGGCTTAGCTTTTTGAGATGTTCTACAATAAATAGCACCCCCAGGTCCTTTGTCTACAGAGACTTTGTTTGGATCTTCTGCAGGTGGTACCCGGCCCAAATTTGCAGTGCGTGATGTCATTTTTTTAGTACGGGGTTTCTTAGATTTGTTAGATCGCCTTGATGATGATTTTTTAGATTTTGAAGATTTTGGCTTGTTAACTATGGTCATTGTTCATATCTGTAACAGAGGGAAAAGTTCTGGTTGACATAAGAGTATCAAGAACCACTCGAGAGAAAAGGAGAAATCCTGTCACTAAGTCTCAAAGAAATTACTCAAAAAACTAAATAGCTGGTAAGAATCTTTTAAAAACAAACAACAAAACCCAAACACAGAACCCAAAAGTAAACAAAGCAGAATCTTCCACCAAAACTGTATCAATAATAATTTCAGCTTCTGCAGAGGTGGTGACAAGATGACATTTCTTCTACTTTCATAGGAAGGTAATCCATTACTGTTAATAAAGACCTTTTAAAAATAAAATAAAGGAGCTGTGAGCAGTGACACATTCAAGTGCTGGCCTGCTGAGATCCGGGAGGAGCTGTTTGGCCCATCTTTTGACTCTTGGGAACCACATGCCTCTGACATACAGAGGATGGGAAATAGCTCTGAGAAATCTTGGGAAAGGAGAGCAAGAAAACACTTGTACATTTATTTCTGCCTGGATCTCTTTGGCCACTCCAAGAAATATTTTTTTATATACAATTATGACAGCAGTACTTGGTACTATTTTGCATCTATCACATTTACAACTATCAACCAAAAAGTTGAACCAAAAAGCACAGGTTTTAGTTCTTGTTATATAAAGTTGTACATTATCTGCTGAACATAAAAGAAAACAAACTCCTGGCCCTCAAGGACAAAGGCAATAACTGATACCAAGTCCTTTATAAAATGCTGATTAGGTTTCAAGATGATACATCTTTAAAAATGTGTGTAAGTGTGCATGCAAAGTAATCTGCTGAGTAATTACACCATCATTTATCAATCTCCAGATGCAAAGTTTTGTTACTATCTTACTATAGCATGCAGGACCCCTCTAAGTTCAGGGAAACCATAAGCCTGAGTGTTTGAAGCACAAGCTGCTTTGCTGTACTGAACTAACTGAGAGAACAAAGCATACAGCAGTTTCAGATTTATGGCACAACTTGATTGGTACTGATACAACTTAAGGTAGATTTAAAAAAGCACAGTAAATTAGAGAACTTCTAGTCCTATGAAAGATAAATTATGCACAAAGACTTTAAGGAGATATTTTTCCTTTAAATTCTCAATTGAAAATCTACTCTTATAGACATTTTCAATTTCTAAGAAGGTAATACAATAAAGTGGAAAATTCCCTCTCTTTTTACTGAGAAATGAAGACATCCTTGTCCACCTGGAAGACTAAGATGGCAGTTCTTGGGGTCAGTGATTTTCTGGTAAGATTCAGTCTTCAAACTGCAGATACCAGAGGCATCTCCTTTTTTGATGAAAAAGGAAAGTGTTTCAGCAGCATATCTTGAACATATTTGTGGAGCAGCCAAGAACATTATCTTGTTATCCTGACCAATCAGTTAAGCCTTATGTATTTTTTAATTCATTTTTGACAACTGATAATTACCAGAGAGCAAGCACTTCACAACAGCAAATACCAACGCTAGTAAGAATAAATCAGATCCACCCCCTTAAAAAAGATATGTCAATAGAATTCCTAATGTGGATGTAACATCTCTTCGACAAAGAAGTACAAAAACTATAAAGACTGATATTTTTGCCCTCTTCCATTGTTCAACAGACTTACAGCTTCTGTTCCTAAAAAACTGCTGAACATAAATACACACTGTCATGTGCAGTGAGTGTTATTGCCCTGCACAGCTGCCCTCACAGACTTCTACCAGTATGATATTGAAAAGTAAAATAGATAGAACAGTTACCTCCACTTGGGAGTTTTGCATCAGCGTTGCTTAGATTTTTTCAGCAGTCTCATTACAAAACACATCAGTTATGAGCTAATGTGGGAAACTGTTGTTTTCTTCCCCACATAAGTCTAACTGGCTGGAAATCAAATGCCTGTGCCCCCCAGTATCGGCTCACGACAGGTGGATATAAATATTTACATTTGGTCTCCAGTTGGCATTACAGTAAGTCACAGCTCAGAAGATTTCAGACAAGGTCCCGCTCACAGGCTGCGTTCAGCCAGGGGACACGGCTGTGTCTTTACTCCTTACAAAACATTTTCAGCAACACAACAAGGTCTCGGCAGGAAGAAGGAGCAGCAGAAAACCACTCCAGCACAGACCCGAAGAGCAGGCACGTTTACATCTCTCAGCTCCAGGCTGCACTTCCACACGGCAGCGCTCCTGAGAGCCAAAGGAACAGAGCGAAGGAGGAAACAGCCCGAACACACACGCGCTGTGCCGGTTTTACTGTCGGTAACAACTAATCCCGGCACCACGCCAGGAACGCGAAATGAACCCTCCTGCAGCCCGAGCCGGGAGGCGGTTCTGCAGGCGAGGGGCAGGGGCACCGG